ATAATTTAATTTAACGTAACGAAGGAACTTAATGTAAGTTTAATAATATATTTTTTTACAAAAATGATAAGTAAGTATTCTGTTAGAACTCAATAATTATCTTAATTATATTTTAGATTTTCTATATTTTAAAATAAGATATTTATCTTCTATTTGATTATATTTATTCGCAGTTAGTTACACGAATTCAAACATAGAGCTTTAATAAGTTGTACTTATGCACAATTTACTTGTAATCTTGAATTTTAAGCAATATATATCAATAAACAATATTTCATAGATAAAAAATGGGTTTTAAGAATTTTAAATACTTTATAATATAATATAGATTTTAGTAATCATATTTAATAAATTAATTAATTTAAAAACTAGATAAATGAACAACAAGCATTGACATATCAACCCGTTTTTACATGTATTAAAAACCAACCCGTTTTGACCATTATGAACTCGGCAGACCATTCATTTTATTTCCTCTATCTTAAACAATCGGTTATTTATTATAGTCTTTTTTTAAGTATATAATATTTATATACGACAAATAGAACAAATAAACTCACACATCCTCCTTACCTTTGGTGAGATTTGAACTCTTGACATTTCTAAAAGGCCAATGACTCACATACTGCTAGGACAAAGGCCCTTTGGTTTTATTATAGTCTCTTCAACGACATGAATACATTTGCTTCTCTATTTGCTTGTTATTGTAAATTTTCAAATGCAACATTAATATTCCAAAATGTGGAAATATTTTCCAATATATAATTATATATACATTTAAATGGATTTTATTAAAGATTAATAAACCCACTTTTAATAATTTCCAAATTTAATTATAAAAAAGGTAAATTGCATGAAAAAATCACGTACTTTAACTTGATTCATATTTTGGGTAACGTACTTTCTAAATTTTTATTTTAGTATCTGAGATATAAAATTTTAAACATTCAAGTACCCGAATATCCGGTTGAAGACTAATTTTAGATTAAAAAATTCATGTCATTAACCACGTCAGCAAATAATACTGAGTTGGATACCACATCACTCGCCACACCAGCATGATAACCGGTTAATACTTCAACAGTTATCTGGGTATTTAAATGTTTAAAACTTTACATTTTAGGTAATAAAATGAAAGTTTTAAAAATGTATTACCCAAAATAGGAATCAAGTTAAAGTAGGTACTTTTTATTCAATTTTCCCATAAAAAAAATTTAACCAAACTTTGTTTACTTTATTTAAAAAGCAATAAAAGGGTTGCTTAGTCAAATATTACTTAATAGTCCTATTTAATTAACCTAATTTTTAGTGGACAATTTGTAGATAAATATAAATATAATATTAATTAATATCCAAATATTTAATATTATAATAATATATTAATCAGTGGTATAAATAATATTAATATTATAATAATATATTAATCAGTGGTATAAATAGAAAAAAGTGAAATGTGACCAAAGAATACTTTGAGAATAGAATATGACAATTAAATCAATTAGTAATTTAGGCGTCGGTTACCTAAATGGTTACCCAATAAGCGTTTACCTTAAGAGTCAATACTATAATTTATTTTATCGGGTAAGATTGTAGTACATCAAAACGTATCATATGCAAAAATTTACCTGGTAAGCGCTTACCTGGGTAAGAGTCGTGACCCTCACTTATCGGATGAGACTCTCCATTCTTATCATCGCTCTTACCGGTAAGATTCTTGCCCCTTGACATGTTCATCCGATAAGGAAAATTGTCCAGTAAGTACTTATCGGGTAAACGTTTAGTAAACGGCCCCTTAGTCTCTAAGACATCTGAAAGAGATATAACAGTTCTAATATAATACATATGATCATTCTAATGTAGGGATTATTTGTTTACCTCTTAATAGTTTCATTAAGAAACAACATTTGAATCGTTAAGAGGTGAATCTTGTTTAGCACAAAAAAAAAACTTGTCTCTTAATGATTTTAAAACTCTCTGGATGATTTTGTATCACGTGACTCTCTGGATGATTTTGTATCACGTGACTCTCTTAACCATTCAACGCCCTAATTTCATCGTAAACATTTACCCAAACAATAATATTTCATTTGACATTAAATCATGAGAGCCTTTTAATCATTCTGACCACTTAATTATTCAGCACCAAACCATTCAACAACTGTCAAACAGCCCTGTAGTCAACAAGTTTTAACTTGTTTTTATAACATAACAACAATAAGTAAAATATAATAAAACCTGAAAACGACATGATGACATTGTACGTCAAGCATTAGGTTATAGATGGGACATATATCAAAGTGTAGTCAGTGTAACCTGTTGTTTATCTGATTTGAGAAGCGTTTTTTTTCTCCATCTAAAATAGTTGTCCTTACGAAATCAAATCCGGCGATGCATCGTATTGTTCCGATATCTACATTAATATTATTATTTAACACATGATTTGAATGTTTATTATTGATCTTATTGTTGGTATTATTATTGTTATTATGATATGAGGTATGATATATATATATATATACATATATATATATATACATATATATATATATACACACACACACATATATATATATATATAGAGAGAGAGAGAGAGAGAGGTGGGTTATTATACAACCTTTTACATTTGTACAACCAAAACAATTCAATCTCAACCGTCCATTTAATTTGATGAGTATGAGATTTTATAGAAGTTTTCATTGTTTCCTAATATAAAGTATTGATTATAATTAATGAACTCTATTCATCTTCCATAAATATTCAAATCATAATAAATAAACTCCCATCATTTTTATAAATATCTCAAATAATTGGGTTGCATTGGTTGTACAAATGGACACACACACACACACACACACACATATATATATATATATAGGGTTGGGTTCACGTGAGACTAAGGGTTTTTCGTGAGACCCATAACACCAATTTATGTTCATTGATCAACTTTATAAGCTAATGATCTAATGGTCTAAAGTTGCAAGATGACAATTTTGTAATTATTGAAAAGTCTCGTGACAATTTTGTGATCACTAATGTTGAGATAATAGATCTAATCTAAGGGTTGAGAATTGGTCTTACGGGTCTCACGAAAAACCTTTGGTCTTGCGTGATTCCAAGTCATATATATATATATATATATATATATATATGTAATCATGGAAGACTAATAAAAGAGATATCCACAATCTACAAGTAATGCACTTGATTTTGTATTAGATATGTTTGCCATGAAAGGTAAGCACCAAAACAAAGCATCACTTTCCATGACACCAAGCATTTAGGGTGGAAATTAAAAGACTCCACTCATGTTGACTTTTATTATTTTATATAAATAAATTGTATAAAAAAATAACGTATTTTTTTATTTTAGATAACATATTTTTAAACTTCCATTTTGGTACTTAGATATAAAGTTTTAAACATTAAGTATCCGGATAACTGATTGAAACATTAATCGGTTACCATATTGATGTGACAAGTGATGGGATGAAATTCAGTTAAATAGCAAATAATACTGAGTTGGATATCACATCAACATGGTAACCGGTTAATGCTGTTACCTGGGTACTTAAATGTTTAAAACTTGACATTGCAGTGGTAGAAGACTGATTGGTCGGAGACGAAGAAGAGTGCCAACCACGTACCTTCTCTTGTAACAACCTCTCTGTTCCTTCACAGCCACTGCCGGTTTCTTGCTGGAGTGAACTTCCGGTGTCTGGTCAACAAAACAGGCCAAATTACCCACATGGGGACTCGCCGGAACTCCAGAAACTCACCCTAATCGCAAGCATCCAACAACAAAAGACCACCAGAGAAACATGGATGATAATCGTCGTAACTGTCGGTTTCTTGTTTTTAGGGCGTCACCACCTGCGACGGCGGGAGTTGATGGCGGCGGGAGTTGAGAGGGCTCATCGTCACAGTCGTTGGTCTCTGCGGATTTTTTGTCGACGTTCGTGCTTCTCAGAACACGCTTTCGAATATGCGAGAACACGTTTAGTGATGATAAATGAGAAGATGAGATGATTGTGGAAGAGGAGGAAACCGTCGATGAAGAAGTAGATAGGGGTGATGGTGGTGGCTGGAGAAGAAATAGATGAAGGAGAAAGTAACATCTAGGGTTTTATGTATATAAACATTACCAAAATACCCTTTATGTTATTTTAGGATATAACATTAATTATTAAAATGATTGGCTGAGATTGGATCTCACAKTTACCACAAACTAATCAGTTCTCATTTGATTAGGCCCCTATATACACACACACACACATATATATATATATATATATAGAGAGAGAGAGAGAGAGAGAGAGGACGTTTCAAATGCAACTCATCACATTTGTACAACTAATGCAACTCAATCAATTAGGATATTTATGAAAATGATGAGAGTTCATTTATTATGATTTGAATATTTATGGAAGATAACTAGGGTTCTTTAATTATGATCAATGCTTTATATTAGAAAACAATCTAAACTTTTATAAAATCACATATTCATTAAACTAAATGGACGATTAAGAATGTGTTGTATTCTTTGTACAAATATAAAGAGTTGCATAATAACTCACCTCTCTCTATATATATATATATATATGGTTGGGTTCACGTGAAACAAAGTTGTTTTCGTGAGACATGTGAGACAAATTTTTTACACTTAAGCTTTACAACAAAAATACTCTGAAGGTAAAAAGAAACCGAACCTTCACAACATAAACACTGTGAAGGTTACCTTCATAGTTTTTTCTTGTAAAGTTTCAAGTATAAAAACCTTGTCTCACATGTCTCACTAAAACAACGTTATCTCAATGATCTCAAATCTCTCTCTCTATACACACACAAACACATAATATATATATATATATATATATATACACACACACAAACACATAATATATATACACACACATAATATATATATATATATATATATAATATGTGTGTATATATACATATATATGCACCTACAACCTGGTCAAACTATTTTATTTCCAAAAATGGTTTCAAATTCTTCTCTAGAAACAACCCTAAACCTCCCTAGTCTGGACCTTTCAAAGCCATTACAACCTTCTTCTTTATCCTCTCTTTCTGAAGCTTGTCATCAATGGGGTTTCTTCAATATCGTCAATCATGGAATCTCCAGGGGCCTTTATGAAAATATCCATTCTTTCTCTAATCAACTCTTCGATCTCCCTCCTCAAACAAAGCTTCTACTTGGTCCTTCTTCATCCATCAAAACCTACACTCCTCATTTCATTGCTTCTCCTTTTTTCGAAAGTTTTAGGGTTTCTGGACCCGATTTCCGTTCATCCGCTCGGGATTCCATTGATGTGATCTTCGATGAAAACGGTCGAGAATTCAGGTAAAGGATGTTGTTCTTTGTTGAGTCGTTGTAGTCGTGTTTCTTTTTCTGTTCACGACAACGAAATTGGCGTTGTATAGGACGTCAAATATGTTAAATGTCTTAATAGGCTCGTTTATAAGACGTTAAATAAATTTAAATGTCTTAATAGACTGTTTTATAGAACTACTAGAAGGGTACTCGCACAATGCAACGAGATATATCTCAATTTTAATGTTTCGTTTTATTCCTTCTCTGGAGACGTTTTATAATACGGTTTTTATGTGGTTTTGAGAAAATGATAATGTTTTTATTTTTGAATAAAATATAAATTTAAAGATATTATACAATTTCGAAAATAAATATATCAATATTAGTACCAAATTAACTATTTAAAAGTTATTGTTTTTTGTGTAATTTCTTTAATTCAAAATTTTTATTATAATTTAGTTTAGATTTAATAACAAAGTAATTTATTTTTTGATTTAATAATATGATTTTTTTATAAGAATAATAATTAATAATTCTGTTAGAACTTAATGATTATCCTAATTATATTTTAGATTTTTAATATTTAAAATAAGATGTTTATCTTGTATTTGATTATGTTTACCTGCAATTAGTTATACGAATTCAAAAATGGAGCTTTAATAAATTGTACTTACGCACAATTTATTTGTAATATTAAATTTTAAGTAATATGCATTAATAAACAATACTTCATACATAAAAATGGTTTTTAAAAGTTTTTATCAAATACTTTATAATATAGTATAGATATGTATAGGGACAGCAATTATATATGTAAAGATATTAATAACAATAAGTTGGTAGACAACTTCTATCCATAAACTATAAGTTTTATAACACTCTTGAAAATAAAGCGTTTTATCAGTATTTTTATATCATATTTTTCGCAAAAGAACTGAAAAAATATCTTATGAAAACAAGTATCATGTAAAAAGATGCGTTCGTAAGGCATTTTATAAAAGTGTCATAAAAAAGACTTATTTCAAAAATATCCTAAAAAACTGAACGTCTTTATCAACTTATTGTTACATATTTACATAAAACACATAATTTTTTGTCATATACATAAAGATTTCTTATATGACATTTAGACATATTTGACATTCTATCAATTGATTTTGTTATCGTGGTGCTAAAAATAATCATCGTTTTTTGTAAAATTGTCAAGAAAAGATCAACTTAGGTTTTCAAGAACACAGTGTAGATAAGTTCTCGTCATCGTAATCAGTGGCGGATCCAGGAAATTAATGGGGTGGGGGCACGTTGGATGGGACTTGGGGGAGGGAAGCATATGGTTATATGGGACTGGGGGAAAACCATGTAAGGCGATGGTGAAAATAGAAAATTTAAGCTAGTCAACAAAGGTTTTTGGTTTTTGACTGCTTAAAGGCTGGATCCTCCCCTAATCGTAATTGTAGTTTTCAGTAACACTTAAGTGTTTTCGGATGTTTACACTACTTTGTTTGCTTTTGTAGCGAGATGTTGGAAGAATACGGGAAGAAAATGACCGAGTTATCGAAGAAGATCATGAAGGTTGTGTTAATGATCCTAGGAGACGGATTCGACACGAGGTTTTACGACTCTAATTTCAAGAATTGCCATGGTTATATGAGAATAAACAGATATTCACCACCACACAATTTAGAAGATCAAGAAACCGTTGAAGGGCTCGGTATGCATACCGATATGAGTTGTATAACGATCGTGTATCAAGACGAAACGGGAGGTTTACAGGTGAAATCGAAGGAAGAGGGAAGGTGGATGGACATTGTTCCAAGTGAAGGGACCTTAATCGTAAATATCGGCGACTTACTGCAAGCTTGGAGTAACGATAAATTCATTTCATCTGAACATAGAGTCGTGTTAAAGAAACCATTAAGCCGGTTTTCAATTGCTTTCTTTTGGTGTTTTGAAGACGAGAAGGTGATTTATGCTCCTAACGACGTTGTAGGCAACGAGAACATGCAACTTTACGAGCCGTTTGTTTGCTTGGATTACTTGAAATTTCGAGAGAGTAACGAAGAGGGAAAGTTTGAAAAAGTCGGTTTTACGATTAAAGATTTTATCGCACACAACACCAAGAATGTGGTATCAGAAACCAACTTGAATATTCGACTTAGAGCAGAATAGTTGGTATGTGTTGCATGTGATATGTGGAACCTCTTTAAGTTTCTTTTAGAAAGAGAACACAGAGGTGCTCTCTCTCTCTCTCTCTCTCTATATATATATATATATATATATATATATATATATATATAGGGGCCTAATCAAATGAGAACTGATTAGTTTGT